GGTGGAATAATATTCAAAATAACAATGTTACTCTATTGAAACTACATGCTATCACTACCTACTGCACTGCAAAAACGCAGTAACCTGGAACAGCTCTCATCACAGTCATTCCCCAAATAGCTAAATTACTGTTTCAGCTCCTGTAATATAAGTATTTAATTTTTTGATATATATATATATATTATATATATATATTATTTATCTTTTCTTTACATATATGTAGTTATTTAACTCTTTTGTTATAAAAATCTTTGTTCCATCGAACCAACTTCTTGACATATACAAATATTTGTACTCATCGGGTGTAATACATTGTTCGTACAATTATCTAACTTTCATAATATAAGTGTTCATTCCAATATAATAAATATGCCAACCTAACACATGAAATACCAATAACAATGTTGCATAATGTCTATATATTTCCTTAGTGTAAAAATATTTCTTCCACATTGATTGTCATCACTTAAATGTATCACATTTGACTTATTTATACACCAAATGTATTATTCATTTAATGCACTGCCAAATGCATATATGTGTATACATACAATATAATTTCACTCATATATAGTATTGATTTATGTTATAAGAGTGTTCATATGTAATACTGTGCTATTCAAAATATCTTATAACAAAAGAAAATACTATGTACTGAACAACAGGCTTTGTATGCCAATGTAACTGATTTCCGCAGAAATGACGTTCAATTTCTTATGGCAAGAACTAGGACGAATGTCATCTTCGCGGTGTATAGTACGTCAACATTAAATTAAACTACTTAGTTAAATTTTAATCATGCAAAAGTCGAGTCGAAAGGGTTAAGGAAGAGCACAGTTTGCTGTGTTTAACCGAATTTAAGCTCCTTTGAATCTTTCTCCCTTCTGTGTTTCTGTGTCAACAAAATGAAGCCAGTATGAGCTCATCCTGCTCCAAACAAATGCCCTGGGGCTTCATTTCTTGCTTATGTCAGTAGAAACATGCTAACTCTCCACAACCACTCAAGGGCCGCCGAAAGTGTTGTTATGGCTTGTGTCAATACAGTTTCAATTAATGCGTTTTCATTGGTCATGGTCCAGTTCTCAAGCCAGTAGGTGTTTGAAAGTAACATGGGGGAATCTTAATTAAATGGAAAACAAAAATTGCTGTTACTGCGTACTTGCTTTTTCTTGAGTATTATATTCTTCATGCCTAAGCTTTGTGAGGGAATTTTTTTAAAAAATATATGTGTATATATATATTACTGGTTGTCTGAATACTTGATGTTCGGATTTCAGTCTTAGTACTATATTGTTTGTTACGATGCAGGCTGCATTTAAGGAGCCACAGTTTGGCCATGTTTGGGCGTTTTCATTATTTGTTTAATCAAATTTTCAGAGATATATTTTTTTCTATATTTTATTTTATTCACTTAAATATAGTGCCCAAACATAGTAGCTGTGGTTAATGTCGCTATTTTTTAAACTGTGTGTGTTTGTGGGAGGGGGGGGATTTTAAAATTTAACTCTTTCGTAAGGTGGAGTTTTGATCTTATATGAGAACTAAGTATGCTATTTATAAATTGTAGTTCATTAGCATATGGAAAATATATTCATTTTTAAAATATTCATACTTAAGAAGTTAATTATAATGAAACCTCAGATCACAAATGTTTCTGATCACATAAAAATTTGTTTAATAAAACATGATACCAATTTAATATTTAAAATCTTCTAGAAACATGATTTATTCAAGTATTATCTTTGCTTAACTGTCACTAATAAAGCCATTCAGTAATTGACATGCAGGATCATGAATTCAGCTTGGAAGAAAGTGATGACCTGTTTGTGCTCCAGGTAAAAAACTTTGACAGCATTGACGCATTTTTTTTTTTTAAATCCATAATATGGTAAGTAAAACAGTGGGTTAGTAATTTAATAATGAAGACATGTGTGAGTTACTAGAGGATCACAAAAACAAACAGCTCAGAAGAATTGGAAAAACTTTGTAATGCAGCAGCATAATGCAATTGTGGAAAAAATTCTTTGAAGCAAGAAAGATATATATATATATTTTTAATCAGTGGAAAATATGCAAAAAGGACTAGGTGCAAAGTTTCATGGAACATCATTGCCCCTTCCCCATAGACAATAGCAAATCACAGCATAAGCATTTTGAATAGCAGTGGTTATCATTCATCTTAGAACCATTCTAAAACATAGAAAATAACAAATGGTTTTGGAGAAAGATTTAACAAGGCAGAGGTTTAGTGAGTCTCAGGCAGAGTGGAATGTTGCTAAGAAACAATATCATTCCCTTCAAATAAAACATTCAAAAAGATAGTTAACTGATGTTTTTCTATGGAAGGAGACTTCAAATACAACATCTGTTCCTTTTTTCATCTTCATCCTCTGCTTATGCCATTAACTTTGCTTCATGCAAGTAAGGGAATATTTAATTGTGTTTGCATCTATATAATCTATTAAGTATTGTTTTATCATTTTTTTTGTCATAGATTTAATTATTTCCATTTGTTTTGTGTTATGAAATTATGCAGAAAGTACAGCAGAAAAATTTTAAATCAGTTGTCATTTGTGATTCTGATTTGTGATTCATCTGTGATTAATCCATTTTACATAAATTTCATTTGGGGAAAATGGTTTGAATTTATGAGTGATGAAGTCTTCAGGCATGAATTATATTTGCGAACTGAGGTTTTGCAGTAATGAAATATCTTACTATCCCCAAACAACTTTATCAGGATACCAGGTCATAACTTTATAAATACAAGAGACCAATGTACCTATTATACCCCTATTAATATACAGGGTGTCCAGTAAACGTAGCGACATACTTCTGGGGGAGGTAGGGCACATCATAAATATTACAAATTGCATAGGAACCCATGCCCGGAAATGTCGGGTAAGTGGTAGCAGAGGTAGAAGATGGGAAAAGAAACAGGAGGGATTAATTTGAAACATTTATTGGACATGAATACAAATGGTGTACGTCAGCTTGAATGTTACAACAGATGCTCAAAGTTTGCACCATCAGACGCCAAACATGCCTGACACTGACGGATCATTGATTGCCGAACATGTTCAAACACACTGCGAATTTCTTTGATTGTAGCGGCTGCACAGGCGAGTCTTGCCACAACATCCATTTCAGACACAACAAGATCGTGATACACGATACTTTTGATGGCTTCTGACAAAAAGGAATCAAACTTTGATAAATCCGGTGAGTGTGGGGGTCAAGGAACTGGTCCACAGTCCATCAATGCGGGAATGAGTTGTTCAAATGGCTACGAACATCCGGTCCAAAATGAGTCCACTTCTTAATGACCTGTAGTTGCACAAATTTTGATGCAGATGTGCAAACAAGCTGTGATATAGTTGATGTCTGTCGGAGAAGCGTTCTCGATAAATGCATGCAGCGATTCATCCATTATCCTCAGCTATTCTATACACTAAGTGCATGTCTGCAAGCTCCAGTTCATATAGCCTTCCAGGCTCTTCGTATGGTACCTACCACTCTAATGAGGCAATCCTCACTTTCCATTCGTGCTCTCCTGTACAGCACCCCCTGACGACGTACAATGACATTTCTGGGCATGGGTTTCTATGCAAGTCTTAATTCTTATGATGTGCCCTACCTTCCCCCAGAAGTTTGTCGCAACATTTACGGGACACCCTGTATATAGTGCTGTCACTTATGAAAAAATGTGTTAGATTAAAACAAAACATTAATTAAAAAAAGTCCTTAATTTAGAGTTTATCGCATTTACAAAAGTATGTACTATGTTATAAATTAAATGTTAGCGTTTTGAAAAACTTTGAAGAAATGAAGAAAAAAAGCTCAATGAAGGGGGAAAAAAAAAAAAATTAGCTTTTTTTCCTTTATTATGTTATAAATTAAATGTTAACTTTATAAAGAAACGTATATTCATGTTCAATAAGTAATAATTTCTCTTTGCTAAATTTCAAATTATTAATTACAGGGTGTTTATAAAGTCCCGGATGTTTGATAACTCATAAAATAATGAAGATATAAACAAACTTATGGCATTTATTGATGGAATAACTTATATATTTCCTTTTCAGGTTTGAATATCTTTACTTTTGTCAATATCGTCTGTGCATGTGGTTAATTTCAGATAATTTCATTTTCCAGTCTAAATATCTGTACTTTTCTAAATATCGTCTGCTTATTAATTGCATTTTTCTCTTTTGTTTTTGGCATCTTTCTGGCATTCCTAATCGGCATAATGTGTGCATATGGGTATCTGAACCCACATGAATACCGTGAGGCGCAAAGGGATACCCCAAAGGTTAATGTGTGGTGTGGACTAATGCACGACCGAGTCATTGGGCCTTTCTTTTTTACAGAAAAGACGGTCTCATCAGTCGTATACTTAGACATTTTGGAAAACTTCGTATTTCCACTACTAGAAGAGCTTCAGCCACATGTCTTTTTGCAACAAGATGGTGCACAATCTCACTGGGGTACCATCTTTCGTAGTTCTTTGAAAGACAGTTTTACAGGAAGATGGATTGGGCGAGGAGGTCCAATTCCTTGGCCACCCAGATTACCTGATATAACGCCACTGGACTTTTTCCTTTGGGGATTTGTAAAGGACAACGTTTACAGGAGGAGAGTGTCGAACATTGATGACCTAAATGCCAGAATTACAACTACAATAGCCTCTGTGGATGCCGACATGCTTACCAGTACCTGGCATGAAGTTGAATATTGACTTGATATTCTCCGTGCGACGAAGGAGGCACACGTGGAAGTTCATTAACAAGGGTCATGAAACTTTTTGAGTCTATCTAACCACTTATGTTATTAATTTTAATCTATCTTTATTATTTGATGAGTTGAGACTTTATAAACACCCTGTATATTCTATTACATGCTCTTGTATGGTTTTTTTATTTCCATTTTTGACTTTGATATTGTAATTTTCTAACTAATTATATTTATTTAGGATGCTGTCTCGTAAATCCTACAATAGTACCTGGTGGACGGGTTTTTGTGTGGCCTTTCATCCAAAAGGCACAGAAGTATGTGTTTTTTATTCTTTAATGCCTTTAATTTCTTGTGTTCAGATTTTTTTAACCTTTTCAGATTTAATATACATATATTAATCTATGTGTATTCTATTTTTCAATTTTTTGCAGAATAACCTTAAATACAATGACTTTAACTGTAGAAAGTCCTAAAGTATATACACAACAAGGAGTACCTATTTCTGTTACAGGCATAGCTCAGGTATTTAACTTAATTATTGTAATTAATTAAGCTCTAATTTTAATTAAATATATTAGTCATCATAGGCTGATAGACCTGAAGCTTCTAATATAAATTAAATTTTGCTGAAAACCATTCTTTGTATAAATTAAAAGTATACATTTATGTGATATTTTATTCATTTCATATAATTTTGAATTACATTTTGTTTATAATTTTAAATTATGTTTGTAATTGGGTTTAGGAAGAGATATGATATACAGTACAAAGCCCGGGATCCAAATTCGTTGGAACTTCCGCGATCCCGGATTTGGGATTTTTCTGGATATTAGATCATCGGTTTAAGTCTAGTAACATGGCATGTAGGAATTTTAAAATTAAAAATATTAAATCATGATTTATGAAGTAATGAAGCATTTATGATCTAAAGGGTACCAAAATTTACCCACCAAAAAAGAGCTTAATATTTATATACTTTATTAAACTTTTCTTTCAATGTAAATTGTTTAAGTAGCTTTGTATTTTTGTGCTAATACTTTCTCTTTAATTCTATTGACAGATATAATTTCTTGTTCAGTTACTAAGTTCCATTGTTCAAGTCCTGTAATTCCTGTGTCGAGAATTCCACCTATCTTGTCAATCGAAATTTTTCCGTTTTCAGTAAACTCTCTGTCACTTCCTTCACTCAGTAGTGGTATTTTCTGGATCTAACGTAGTAGGTATATCAGTAGTGGTATACTACGGATTTAGCCATTCATTAATTGATTGATAATTATGGCATTGCCATCGCAATGGAAAAACTTCTGCCACCTAGTGTGGCTATGTGAACTCTGGCGCCTTTTCTGGCTTTATGTGAATTACAAATCAGTTACTCTTAATTCAAATAGCACTAAATGTAATATTTTGGCCTATGAGTATCATTAACAAAATCTATTTATAGCACATGGAAAGAAATTTTTGTTAAATCTTTCCTCATCAACATTTCTTTGGGCATTTAACTTAAATCTGTAATTGGTACCAAGCATAATGTCAACAGAAGAGGTTACCATATTTTTTATTCAATTACTAATATAAAAATTTTTTTAAGTATCGCTGCATGAGTCATTGCTAAAGTTGCCATGTGTTCATAAACATGTGGTGATGAAAGCAAAATATAATAAGTAACGATTCGTCTGATTGGCCTCAAGGATACAAAATATTAGTTGGTGTAAAATCAACAGTTTCTCTGTAGAATGTTTTGGTTTGAGATGTATTGCCAAGCAGATACGTTGCATGGGGTCAAATTATTCATCACATAAGTTTATGCAAAAATGATTACCATATATGCTCGAGTGATGTCTGCACCCTAACTTTCCAGATAAAATTTATGTAAAAAAACCATCCGCACTCCAAAAACTAAAGAATTTCTTACTTTAAAATATATATGTATTTTTTAACATTGTCGTTTTCCCTTCAGTCTATAACATCAGTCAATAAACATCTTTAAAGAAAGAATATGCATTTGTTTTGTCTTTGATTGGTGCCAGGATGGAAAGCGGAGACTCTCCTTGCATTCTGGTACAGCTGTTATTCAGTCATAACATGGGTGCCAGCAATCCACTTGACAGACGGAATAATAAATTAAGGTAGTTCAGACAGATTTTCACCACACTGGCTTCCAGGAAATAATGTTTTTTAATGAAATTACTTTCCTCCCTTCCTCCTTGGAGCATTCGCATATTTTAAGCTTTTTCTTTTCATTCATAGTATCATTTGGAATTTGTGGTAGTTAGCAAGTAGCATGCTTGAAAACGGAAAAAACAGCCGCTATACAGTAGTCATAGAAATTAGACAGAAAATGGAAAAAGAGCAGCAGCAAGTGTATATAAGGTGGACGAAAAGTGTGTGCACAATTGGAGCAAACAGCGTGATCATCTGCCGGCAACAAACAAAACAAGATATGCATTTCATGGTTCGAAATGCAAGTTTCCGAACTTATAAAAAAAAAAATTAGTTGCGTATGTTCGTGATGCGCAAGCTGAGGGATACGCAGTAACACGGGAGATGTGCCAAATAAGAGCACTTGCTGCAGCATTAGAAGAAGACATTCCTACGTCGCAGTTCAAGGCGAGTGAAGGTTGATTGCACCGAATGTTGAAACAAAATGGATTTTCATACAGTGCGTCAGAACAGATTTTGTAAAAAACGTTCTCTTTTATCCACATATACAGTGAAACCTCGTTACAACAATATTTTAGGGACCAAAAAATATTTTGTAGAGGCTATTGTATATCGAGGCCCACATTTTGGCATTTAATAAGTTTTTTTTTTATTATTAGTTAAGGTGCATCATGTAAGGATCTTAAGTTTTACTAACGTTTATTTTATTTTAAATCTTTACTATCACTTCTTATTTTCTACTTCCGGCCAGAATTAAAAGCGTTAACTTATTTATGCAAATTTGTCTGGCGAACGCCAAGTACTTAAGTTGTGGCTTTTTGCCAAGCGAGAGAGAGGAAGGAGTTAGTCGAAGCAGGCCGCTTGCCTTAGCAAGTTTTACTCGGTTGCTGGTTGCCTTCCAGGCCAGAGGTTTAATCCTCTTGATAATTTAAAACGTATTGTAGTGTTAACAGTTCTCTGTACTACATACGGCTTCCTGTTAATATACGGCCAATCTTCCACGTTTATTATTATTCCAAAGTTAAGTTAGAGTTTAGTTAATTATTTTATATTCTTACGTTCAGACCACAAGTAGGTTGGTCTCTTGTATTCCGAAGTACGGAAATTATTGTAAAGAGTGAAAAAATAAAGGGTTTCGTATACCCTTCCTGTGTATCTTGTCTACTTCCCACATTTATTGAACATAGCTTTAGTAAGCTCCCTGTTCCGAGTCAGGTTTGTGCATGTTCCCAAAGAAAGTAAGACGGAACATTGAACCTGATAGTGGCGCCCAACGAAGAAGAATAACCATGGCCGAGTTTCAAGAAGAACCTGTGCTGCCTGCAGAAGCGGCTCAGAATCCAGAAATGCCAGCTGCCGCCCTGGAAGGATTTGGTTACATCGTCCAGACCATGCGCGCTTCGATGAAACCAGAAGCAACATTTAATGGAAACTCACCGGTAACCAGTTTTTTGGAAAAATTGGATGACCACTTCATGCTCTACCCCGTGCACGAGTTTCAAAAAGTTACCTTAGCTACCAGCGCTTTGAGGGGCCAAGCGCTTAACTTGGTTCAAATGTATAGGCAGAAGTCTCTTGGGTCAAGCAGGAAGTCCCACCTATACTTACGAAAATTTCAAGACTGCCCTAGTAAAAGCCTTCCCTGTCGTAAGGGATCGTGCGAAATTAGAAACGGAACTTTTCAGCATATATCAGCAAAGAATCGAAAATCTCTCAAGCTTTATTTTAAGAAAAATTCACGTCTTCAAACTCTTGTATGGAAACCGTCCGGATCCTGAGATAATTCAAGTGATTTTGCCGAGGTTACTTCCCCAAGTGCAAGACTTTATTGAATTAAGGAATCCGACTACACTGGAAAAGTTATTTGAGCTAGCAATCCAGTTTGAAAGTAGAAGAACGGCGGACATTGAAAGAAGACGCCAATATCAACAACGAAACCAATTTGGTGCGCCAAGACCACAGCAAAGTCAAGCACACGGCTACGGAAGCAAAGCGAATCAGTGGGCAAGGAAACCCGAGCATTCAAAAAAACAGCCGGCGAACGTCGACAGTTCAATAGCAATCCAGGAAAAAAGTCTCAAGGCCAGTGGAAAAAAGAAGGAAAGCATGGAAAGAAAAATGATTTAAACTAAAACGGATTTCTGCTGACGGGAGGGTGCGGAAATCCGAAGGCCAAGAAAACCCCTCTTCCTTCAAGTTAAATACAGTAATGGTGAAAAATTTGACTCTTCCGAAAATTGAAGTGTTGGTGAATAATATCCCAGCCACCGCACTCCTGGATACAGGCGCGCAGTGTTCCTGTGTGGCAGAAGATTTTTTTAGGAAGTATTTTCGTAAATACCGCATATATAATTCGGATAATACGACAGTGTTAGCTGCGCAAGGAGAAAGATGTAAGTGCATAGGTAAATTACCGCTATACGTCCGTATCAAGGACGAACAAGTAAAGGTTATGTTTTTTATAGTAAAGAATCTGCAAGCACATATTATCTTAGGAATAGATTTTCTTTCAGAGGCACAAGCAACGCTGGATTTTAATGAAGCGTCCCTTAAGCTGACGATGAAACCAGTTCGAGAAGAAAAAGGCTGAACCGCCGATGTTAAACCTTGACCACCTGCCTAATGAAGAGCAACGAAGAATCCGACAAGTGGTAAGTGAATTTGCTTCGTTATTTAGTGATATTCCAGGATTTACTCAAGTTACTAACCATAGTATTGACACCGGAGATTCAATGCCAGTTCGCCACAAAGCCATACCGGTATGATAAGAATAAAGAAAAAATTATAGAATGGCACATCAGCCGATATGCTACGTAAAAAGATCATAACGCCCATCTCAAGTAGTTATGCTAGCCCGGTGGTTTTATGTAAGAAAAATAATGACTATCCATTGAACACATCCAAAAAGGTGGCGATTCGCAATTGACTATCCGTAAATTAAACTCCATAACTAAATATCCGGTATATCCGTTACCTATTATTGAAGAAATTCTAAGCAACATAACTTCTACCAAATATATGACGACTTTAGACTTAACGACTGGTTATTTTCAAATAGGGGTTAGGCCTGAAGACGTGCCTAAGACTGCTTTTATAACCAAGTCTGGCACTTATGCATTCCTGCGTATGCCGTTTGGCCTTTCAGGGGCACCGGCAACATTTCAGCGATGTATGGACATTGTGTTAAGGCCTGTTCTTGGAAAGTCCACATTTATCTATTTAGACGATATCATTATTACTAGTGATAATCTCGACCAACATGTACAGGATTTAAGACAGGTGTTTTCTTTATTAAATGAGGCCGGTCTAAAAGTTAATGTCGAAAAGTGCAAATTTGCAGCCCCTGAATTAAAATATTTAGG